AAACACCAAATCAAATATTGAAGATTAACTCTCAAAGTTTATAGGGGAGGGGAATAACAGCCACCTCAGAAAACTGTTCATGGAAAATTAAACATTTACTCTATGATCTAGCAATTCCAATTCTAAGCATTTCTCCAAGAAAACAGCAAATTTTATCCACAAATAATCTTGTAAAAAATGTTCATGTTATGTTTCTTCATAATATGGAAACAACTCTGATGTCTATCTGAGGAAAATGGATATTATAATAAAATGAACCACCATAAAGCAAGGCAAAAGAATATCTGATACATGCAAAACATGAATAAAATATTTTTAACTTGAAAAATACCTTGTATAAGGCAGACACACAAAATAATGCAGACATACTAACAAGATTACTAATTCTAAATACATAAAATTCTAGAGTGGGTGAAACATGGCCTAACTACCTTCTGTATGGAGGCTTATCCCTCTTGTACCTCCATACTGGATCTTAACAAAGTTGTCTCCTCACTAACTCTGGTCAGGGCAACACTGACTTTCTTCCTAAAGCAACTGTGGTAAAGATAGACGTGAACCATGGAGAATTAGCATTAAGGAAAGACTTCCTTTTCAGCCCACAGACAAGAGCAGTGGTCAGCAGTTGTTTTTCATATTTCTTCCGCTATTTCCTTCATGGTCTTCTTCAGCTGCAGAGTCTGTCCCTTGAGGTCATACCTGGGCCTGGACAGCTGGCATAGAGTGACTGAGCAAGACAGTTGTGTAAAGGCCTGCGCGCTTCACTCAGTTTGGGACACTGAGGAGTCAGAAGTGACGTCAGAGCTCCCCCCTCCACCCAGGTTGGCCTAGGATTTGTAGGACCTGTGTGGTGGTTCACCTTCTCCCTCTAAGCAACACTGCATCCATCCTCTTCTTTTCATATTGCTGATCCCTAAAAAACATCTCACACTTCACTCTTCATCTTGACATCTGTTAACATCTGAACAGAACAAGGAAACATACAGCAGTGCCTTCACAGGCAGCACATCATTGGCATCTTGGACCCCTACCTGTGGCCAGTGTAAGCTGAGAGCATGCACAGGCCCCACTTGCTCCAGCACTTCCCCCTTTGGGGCAAGGCTTTAGTGAGGTGAGAGGGGAAAACACGAAGTAACAGGGACAGCTCGGGCCCAACCCTCACGGCTTCTGCTCCAGCAGCTTGAGCAGACCTCACCCGGAAACAGCAGTGATGCCCACTGAGCAATGCAAAGTCCTGCCTCAAACCCCGCTCTGGCTCTTGCACCCCTACCAAGGTGAATGAACAAATGTAACAACACAGAAACAGACCCACCAATATAGCAAATAAGCCAGTGCTTAACACAGGGGAGAGCGTTGGAGGGAAGGGTAGAATAGGTGATGGTTACTAAAAGTCATAAACTACCGGTTATAAACAAGTCAAAGTAACATAATGTACAGCACATGGAACAGACTCAATATTTTGTAATACCTTTGTATGGTGTGCAATCTATAAAAAGTCCAATCACTATATTGAACAGCAAAAACTAACAGAGTCAACTCTACCTCAATAACTTTAAAAATTATTTTAAAAATAACTTAAAAATTTGGAGAGAAAAGAAAGAAAAAAGAAGGGAGAGAGAGTAGGAGGAAGACAGCCGTCCCTGACTCTTTCAAATATAGTTTCAATGGGTCTTAATATTTTTAAGGAAATAACAGCTAATGAATGAAGATACGGGCTAAGCAGTTATAGTAATCACTTCCAACTTGACCTCTATTAGATATAAAGCATGTAACAACATGAATCTAAAAGGTTGAACTGAAACTGGGCTAGCAAAATTGCTCAAAGATATATAAGAAATTTATCTGTAAATACTTCATTTTTCATCTTGTTTCACTCAAAATTCTATATGCTCTTTTATGTTCATATTCTCCTTTAAATACTTAAAATATTACTATGGGGGACAAGTCAGTGTAAATAGCAAGTTACATTTTCATTCTCTTCTGATCTGTTGAGCAAAGGGGACCCAGGGAATTCATAAAGGTAGATGAATTTAATCAACTTAAACAATGCCTAATTTGTGACTCTAAGCATCTACACTCATTCCTAAAACTATTGTTGAAAGAGACTGATTCATATATATTACATGTAACAGAATACATTTTCATTCCATTCTTTCATGATAATAAGCCTCATGACTTCAGTCTGAAAAGTTTTATAGACTTATACATATATATGTAAATATATAATTATGCCAAAAATGTAAAAGCATTATGCATACCTAAAGCAGATATGTGTTAAAACTAGAATAATTTCTGAATAGATACCTTAGGTCCATTAACATCATAATATATGAATTATCACACCAGGTTAAGCACCATTACTTCAAATTTAATAAAAAACAAAAAATGAGCTTATTAGACAAATATAGATATTCTGTTAGAGGTCAACCTCAAATATTCAGGCTTCATTTAATAACTCTCGAGGTATATATGTTTCAGACTGAAATTCTCAGTGGTAAGTCTTTTCAGTACATCCCTTATATTTGACTGTAAGCACTTTATAAGTAGGATTTGTGTCTGAGCTATCTTCCTCTTCTAAACTCCACTCCAAAGACCTACCACTGTTCTTTTGTAATAGTAAGTTTTTAGGGAATTACATTGGGGCTTTTAAGACATGTCATGTCATTTTATGGTTGGTGAAAATAACTTTACTGAATTAGAAATAAATACATAAAAATTCTGGGATTATCTCCTCTACTGATTCATCCTACTCTACCAAGTATTTGGGGTACCTATTCTCCCTGAGTTAAAATCAATTTAAGTTTCAGTTCTATCTGTAACCAAGAAAGACTAATTATTTAGGTATTTGATAACAGACACAAAATTTTACTAAAATTGTGTAATAAAATAATATGTTTATGCAACAGTTCTCTCACATATATGAAAAGAAAAGTAACTCTGCCTTTTTTAGTGAAAAGTATTTTATCAGAGAAAAGGCAAGGAACTGTCCAAGATAAATGTTCAATTAAAAAATAGACCATATATATCTATTTATCTTTGTGTATAACTTACAGAGATACATGCATAAATGTATGTGCATAATTCTTCAATACATTTATTCATTTCAACCAAACAAAATTTTCAAGTAATCATTGGACTGAGGAAGTTAGTGATATTGGTGACTCCAAATATTTTGCTCAGCAATTTTTGTGTTTTCATACTGACAGGTGATGAATTAGAAGTAACACCATATATTTTTTTATGGTTTTATTTACTTAGTGATTTGAAATTAATCAAACAAATACTACCATGCCTAGAGTTAAAATACATATGGAATTTTGAACAAATACACCACATAAACATACTTATAGTCTATTAAAGATTGCAGAATAACTGCATGCATTTCTCTTTCCTTTCAAAAAGTCATTCACCTGACAGTAAGAAAGCAAGCATTGCTTACACATATAAGGAAAACAGGAAAAAATAGGAGGCATGAAATTTCAAAACATTTTGGAAAAGGAAACAACTGGCAGAATCTGTTTTAACTTATGAAAGCAATGACAAATGCAATGCTTGGAATGGGAGAGACAGGTGAAAAGGGAGACAATATTACCTATCACCTGCTGAAAGACTAGCAATTCGTGGTTCCACCACATAACACAGAACCAATGGTCAGGAAAGGGAGTAAAGATCAGGAAACATGAAAGTTTTGTGTTCAAACAGGACTACCTGTCACCCTCTCTCTATGAATGTAACTGATAAATATCACCAACAGACTTCACATGTCTTGCAGTGAAACGCTCATATTAAAGTGTCTATTTTAATTCAAGACACTAAACTCCTGAAACTAAACAGCTAAACAGAAATGATGGGAGAAAAAGTGCTGAAAGCATCTCTCAGGAAAAGCTTGCTTGCCACCTAATCACGCTATAACAAAACCATTCACTTAGTGAACTAAGCTCAGGGCAATATCAATTCTAATCTATGCTTTATGCCTTACTTTTAAGTATAAATGCTTTATCAAAGATAGCCAGATATTTGATAAAAAAATCTTTATCAGAAAAGGGAAGAAACTAAAACAAAGAAATAAAAAAGGCAGGTAATCTAGAGGAAATATAAAAATGCAGAAAGTAGAAAATATCTTTTTAAAAGTAAAATCTATAATTGATGTCCTCCGAAAAATAAAGATGTTTTGTTCACAAAGTAAGAAGATAATAAAATAACAGAGAAATAACAACTTCTAGATATTAAAAATAGGATGCCTAACTTTTTAAGTGAAAGGATAAAATTAAAATAAAAAGACAAGGACTTGTAGTATATAATTTCCTTAAAGGAAAAGGCTAGAAAGAGAAAGAAATGACCTATAAAGGAAATTTACAAAAATATCCAAGAGTTGAAGTCCAAAATTGCTGATTGAACACATGCTAAGTCGCTTCAGTTGTGTCCAACTCTTTCCAACCCTATGAACCGTAGTTCTCCAGGCTCCTCTGTCCATGGGATTTTTCAGGCAAGAATACTGAAGTGGGTTGCAATGCCTTCCTCCAAGGGATCTTCCCAATGCAGGGATCAAAACCACATCTCTTACATCTCCTGCATTGGCAGGTGGATTCTTCACCATTTAGCGCCATTCACTGATTGAATGGGCACACTTAGTTGTGGACTAAATGAATGTAGATCACATCAGTGAGAAAGCTTGAGTTTTAAATTCCTTGAACCAGCCCCGGCTGGAACCATGGACGGTGCAGAAGAGAAGAAAAAGAAGATTCCTGCTGTGCCAGAAACCCCTAAGAAAAAGCGAAAGAATTTCGCAGAGCTTAAGATCAAGCGCCTGAGAAAGAATTTTGCCCAAAAGATGCTTTGAAAGGCAAGGAGGAAGCTTATTTATGAAAAAGCTAAGCATTACCACAAGGAATACAGGCAGATGTACAGAACTGAAATTTGAATGGCTAGGGTGGCACGAAAAGCTGGCAACTTCTATGTACCCGCGGAACCCAAATTGGCATTTGTCATCGGGATCAGAGGTATCAACGCTGTGAGCCCAAAGGTTCGAAAGGTGTTGCAGCTCCTTCACCTCCAGCAGATCTTCAGTGGCACCTTCGTGAAGCTCAACAAGGCATCAATTAACATGCTGAGAGTTGTGGAGCCATACATTGTATGGGGGTACCCAAATCTGAAGTCTGTAAATGAATTGATCTACAAGCGTGGTTATGGCAAAGTCAACAAAAAGCGAATTGCCCTGACAGACAACGCATTGATTGCTCGATTTCTTGGGAAATATGGAATCATATGCATGGAGGATCTGATTCATGAGATCTATACCATTGGAAAACGTTTCAAAGAAGCAAACAACCTCCTGTGGCCCTTTAAATTGTCTTCTCCACCAGGTGGAATGAAGAAAAAGACCACCCATTTTGTAGAAGGTGGAGATGCTGGCAACAGGGAAGACCAGATTAACAGGCTTATTAGAAGGATGAACTAAGGTATCTACCAGGATTATTTTTGTAATCTGGTCTGTTTAATAAACAATTGAAACAAATTGAAATGTAAAAAAAAATAAAAATAAAAAATAAATCCCTTGAACCAAAAACATTGTACAATCACAAACAGTATTCAGAAAGGTATCAGAAAATTCAATGGTATACTGTATCCTAGAAGACACTGGAAATACACCTTCAGCATTCTGAGGGAAGATTACTCCATCCTAGAATTCTATACATACTCAATTTAGCGAGGCCACAAAAACTGATTTTGCTATTCAGCAACATGAGAGAGTTAATGAAAAAAGAAGATAGGCCTGAAGAGGCTGAGAATTCAACCGCGGATCACAGAGTAAAGGAGACAGCAGGATGAAGACTTGCAGCAGGCCGAGAGAGCTCCCAAACCACTCTGTAGCAAGAAGGCAGAGAAGTGTGTGAACAAAGACTATCAAAAAATAATCTCAATTGATAGTTTATTGATGTTGGTGGATTTAAAAGTGTTGGTATTTGTGAAAATATTTGACAAGAGTTGTGGACTCAAAAAAAGCATCAAACTAAGCAAATGGGAAAAAGTGAAATAATGCTTAATTCAAGGAAATAAGAAAGCTGTATAACAAAGGAATTATATGATAGAACACTAACATTGTTCTTCCAAATGTGGTCGCTGACAGGCTACCAGTCCTCAACTGTGCATTACCATGTAGTGAGGAGATAAGTAGCTTCAGTAAATCAACTACATCAATGAGCATTGTTTTTCCCCGCAGGTATTTTATTTTTTTCATACAAGATTTTCTCTAGGAAAGAAATATATTGATTTTCTTTCCTACAAGGGCCCCTTTTTCTATTGCAACCCCTGCAGTTTGAGTATTATTATGTTAGTATAGCTTTCTGGCTATGAGTTTAAACAATAATTCTGACAAAAGTGTTGTGAAGATTGACAGAAGAAGAAGTAAGAACAGTTAATACAGAAAGAGCTATATTTTCCAATTACACAGGAAGAAGTTAATGTTTATCTAAAATATATAAATCAAAGACAGCAGTATAGGAAAAATATTAAGATATACTGAAGAAAGTTTTTAAATGCTAATGCTAACATTATTTGTCTTTGCAAACAATACTGAAGGTGAGCAAGGGTTGGACAGCAAAATTTTCTATATTTGCTATATAATGAAAATTTGACATATAAAGAAATTGTTATATTTCATTAAAGCCATTTAGCATTGATATATCCTTATCCATATACATATATTACTTTGATAAAAATTTTAATTGATTTTAAATAGTCTATAAAAACTCTTTATTAAGAGTTTGTTTATGATCAAATAATTTCACATATATTGAGAACATATTTGCATATCAAAGATCTGAATATTTGATGAGTACAATAGTTGAATCATGTTTAAGAACTTTTACAAAATAAAAAAATAATAAATAATAAAACATTAGATGAATCAAATACAAAGTGAAAATAGCTTTAAAAGCACTAAAAAGTGAGAAGAAGCATTACGGAGGAGAAGAAGAACAAAAATTATTAAAATTAAAGAGAGAGATCATTATAAATAATCACTAGAAAGTTTCCAGCAGCATGCCACAGGACTCTGGCTCATATGCTCAGCTGTGTCCAACTCTTTGCAACCCCATGGACTTTAGCCCTCAGGCTTCGCTGTCCATGGAATTTTTCAGGCAAGAATACTGGAGTGGGTTGCCTACTCCAGGGGATCTTCCCGACCCAGGGATTGAACTCATGTCTCTTGCGTCTCCTACAGTGGAGGCTGATTCTTTACCACTGAGCCACAATAGCTTATAATAGATACAAATAAATATAATATAGTAAACATGTCTTACCACCCTGAATATTACGGAAGTATATTAGGAACAAGAAAGGAACATATTCCAGAAATATGACAGTACTCTGTCAATAACTACTAAGAATTTCCAAAATAGCATACCTGATGCTTCCCTTGTGGCTCACTGGTAAAGTATCTGCCCACAATACAGGAGACCTGAGTTCAATACCTGGCTTGGGAAGATCCCCTGGAGAAGGAAAAGGCTACCCACTCCAGTATTCTGGCCTCGAGAATCCCATGGATGGTATAGTTCATGGCGTCACAAAGAGTTGTACATGACTGAGCAACTTTCACGTCACTTCACGAAGTTGAAATGGTAGACCCCAACCTAGGAGCTCAATACAGAGCTTGTCACAATTTAATAAGTACTAACTCTTTGGAGCAAATATTCAATGTACTACACTTAGGAACCTGCATTTAATTGGAAAGTGAAGAAAAATATTTATATGAATATGGGACTAGTTTTAAAATCCTATGGAGAACGACTCATTTGAAGAACTCTGTGTCTTTTAAAGAACCAAACTGAAAAAGCAACTTTAGTCTCCCGCTGAATGCTGACTAGATTAATTAAGGTAGACAGAACTGACTGCTGTAATTGAATTACAATCTTTTCTAAGAGTGGTTGTTGCCTTATTCTCTGTATTTTATTGATTCTTTTATGAGTTCTACTGCTAAATCAATTCTAATCACTGCATCAACTGGAAAAATTCCACATTCCACTGCCAGATCAATTACAGTCACACAATCAATAGCTGGTACTGAAGCCTTTTTGATTAAAAGAACATTAAAAAAAAGAAATAAAGAATAGAAACTCTACTAAAATAGAAAGTTAAAATAATTCTATTTCTGAATTAAAGAAAAGCAAACTAATTTAACACATAAATTTGCACATTAAATATAAAATTCAATGATAAAAATTATTTGTACTGAAATAATATGTTCATAGTAATTATTTAACCTCTTTTGATTTACTGTTAGTGAATCATTTCACAGTTAACAAAAATGTCTTGTGGTGCTTATATACATTGGATTGAAATTATTTACAATATATAAATTTCACACTGAGCCTTGGGTCTATTGGTTCCTCTTCTATTTATTTCATCATTTCTTTGTTGTTTTTGTTGTCTCTCCAAAACTTTCCTCCTTTGAAAGTAACATCACCTTTTCTTTTCCTATTAAGAAGTACCTCTGTGATACAGTCCCACTATTCTCAATTGTTTCAAAACTTAATCAGGGGTTTTCATTTCTCTTAACTTATGTTTTCCTAAATGACTATAGTAGTATTTTAAAGTCACTAGTAATGTATTTTTCTTGAATGCCTTTAATGCCCTCAAATATAATGACATTTACTTATATGAATATGTGTGTGCTATGTCATTTCAATCATGTCCTATTCTTTGTGACTCTATGGACCATAGCCCTCCAGGCTCTTCTGTCCATGGGTTTCTCCAGGCAAGAATACTGGAGTGGACTGCTAAGCCCTCTTCCAATGGGGTTTCCCCATCCATAATTGAACCTGCATCTCTTACATCTCCTGCATTGGCCAGGGGGGTTCTTTACCACTAGCACCACCTGGGAAGCCCTTACTTATATGACCTAATTATAACTCAGAACATTTGATGATGTCAAATTTCCACACATCAGATTGCATACTGTGTTTTCTCTTGTGACTGTAAACACCTTATGGCTTGTGTTTTCTTTTCCCTGATATTATTGGGAATATATTAAGATTTGTGTTCAGTATCATGGTGATTTTCTAGCCACCACCACTACCCTAAGTGACTTGACTTTTGGGATAGTCAAAAACCAGTAGAGTTTCTTCCTTGATCTGCATTATTTGATAAGCTTCAGATAGTACTATTTTCAGTTCTGACATGCTAAAAGTGGTACATGCATAAATAACATTATAAGGGCATCACACCATCAATTAATTGTGTTCCCGTGGGGCCCCAACAGTTAGAATACAGTATAAACACTTCTTCTTAAAGGGAGTCTGTATCACCACCAAATACTATCCATCTTCTCTGGATTGCTGAGGTTCACAGAGGCATAGAATTAGTGAAATCCTGTAAATGATCTTGGCTTAGGCTTTCATTAGAATAAAACCTAAATGTCGATCAACAGATGAATGGATAAAGAAGATATGGTACACATATACAATGGAATATTACTCAGCCATTAAAAAAGAATGAAATAATTCCATTTGCAGCAACTTGGATGAACCTGGAGATCATCATATTAAGTGAAGTAAGTCGGAAAGAAAGACAAGTATCATATGATATCAGTTACATGTGGAATGTTAAAAGTAACACAAATGAAATGAATTATAAAACAGAGATGGACGCACAGAATTAGGAAACAAACTGATGATCACCAAAGGAGCAATGTCAGGGGGAGGGATAAATTAGTTGGTTTGGATTAGCATGTATACTGCTGCCGCTAAGTCGCTTCAGTCATGTCTGACTCTGTGCGACCCCAGAGACGGCAGCCCACCAGGCTCCCCATCCCTGGGATTCTCCAGGCAAGAACACTGGAGTGGGTTGCCATTTCCTTCTCCAATGCATGAAGGTGAAAAGTGAAAGTGAAGTCGCCCAGTCATGTCCAACTCTTTGCGACCCATGGGCTGCAGCCTACCAGGCTCCTCCGGCCATGGGATTTTCCAAGCAAGAGTACTGGAGTGGGGTGCCATTGCCTTCTCCAATTAGCATGTATACCTATATATAAAAGAGATAATCAACAAGCACCTACTGCATAACACAGGGAACTCTACTCAATATGCTGTAATAACCTATATGAGAAAATAAACTGAAAAAGATTGAATATATAACTGAATCACTTTTCTGTAAACCTAAAACTAACATAACATTATAAATTGACTCTAATCCAATATAAAATTTTTAAAAAATTAAGATAAAAATAAATGGCATTTCAAAAAGAAAGAAAAAAGTAGTACATAGCCAGACATATAGCAAAAATTTTGAAAATAATGAGATAATTCAGTGGACTAATTTGCTTTCTCTAAAACTTAATGATACAATTGGACATTGCCTAAACAGAACAAAAGTTGTAATAGGTACAATAACAACTGTCTGGTTTTGTTTTCCATTTAAAATATTATAAATTGGAAAATGGGATTATAAATAACTAATACTTGG